TCCCCCCCCCCCCAAAAAAAAAAATAAACCGTGTGCACATAATCTATTCGAAATACCTTACATGTCCATGGATTTGGTGCGGTTTTTTCGAATGGATTACGTGCCGGCTGATGGCAGGTGATTGTTTTCACTGGTGCGTATGGTTTTATGTCAGATTTATATGTGTAGCATTCGTTATCCAGAACGAATTAGACTAAGCAAAAAAATTGGACTTGTGATTTCAAGGATGAGATCTCTTTTGTCATAGCCGGTCAGAATTGGTCAAAAAATGAAAATGTTTGAACTTTAAGTTCAAAAAAATGTTCTAACTCTAAAACCAAATTTGGAAGAAAACACAGAATCTCTGTGACCTTGACCTGCAGACCCATCAAAGCAATCGATAAATCGATTTTTGATGTACCAGTTTTCAACAGCATGTAATTGTCTTGTCGAATATAGACTTGCATCCGTTATCCATGCGTAAGAAAAGGGAAAAGAAAGGAGTAGTTAAATAATTAATTTTGAAATTTTATTGAAATTTATGTATTTTCATATTTTTTCTAATCGAAAATTATGAATTTCATCAAGTTATTATTTTTGAGTTGGGGGACGCCCCGTAAAGGAATAGCGGCAGGGTGTTGACGAAGAGATGTTGTGGTGTCAGTTGCCCAATAACCTCCTGCAGGATATGTGGCGTTTGGGTGTCGCAGAACGCCAGAGTGCGTTGTAGGAGCGACTTTTTACATATCGACGGCGTAAGTACACAATCACATATCTCGTTTGCGGTGTCTGAAAATCTCCGCCTCTATGTTATCTTTTTAAAGGAGAATAGATCGGCATCATTCCTTGAAGCTTTTTCGTCCTCGCACAGAGGAGAAAAATCACGGAAATTTTAAAGAATTGCCGTTAATTGACTAGTTTTCCGTTTAAATAATGAAGTATGACAGGAAGTCTGTGACGTTGCAAACCGAGTTATGTGATTCCCGACTTACACCGTCGATACATTATTTTTGAGTTTAATTTATTCAGGAAACTTGTAAAAATGGACGTATTTCTGTCAAACGGAACTAAGCGCCATCGGAGGAGGAAGGTAGAGGGGGGCTTAGATTGGCGGCGGAATCGGGCGTCGGGCTCATTCCGTCCTATACTCGCAATGCTTCTCCATGGCGCTTAGTTCCGTTTGATAGAACGCGCTATCCGGGATTCAAAATTCCTCAAAAGGAACTCAAATTGGCGCTTAGTTCCGTTTGACAGAAATACGTCCAAATGTGAATTGTTTAAATGTTTGATGCTAAATTTTTTAATGAGCTCTTTATCTCTGTTCAGGTGACCACCTCACTTAACGACGGATCCTATGCTCGAAGCCTTAACTTGAGTTTGAACGGAGGGCTCAAGTCCACCAACAAGGAGCAAGAGGTCCAAGTCGTTCTGCCGACACCCACCGAGGTGTACACCTCCGACGACGGGATAGACCTGCCGATCTTCAGGGACCTGAGCGGTCTCGGCCTGGATCCGATCGAGCTGGAGGAGAACTTCATCCCCGGAGGCCAGGACAAAGCCCTCCTGTTCCGGCCCTACGGAGTCTTCAAGCCGGCCGCAGCGGCCACGCTATCGGCACCGCTGAGGGTGACTGCACCCCCATCCGGTGTTCAACGACATTTGAATTTCCCGCCTTTCAATCTGGCGTATCTCCGCCCGCGTCCCGGGGCCCCGAAGGAGGATCTCCAGCAGTGGCGACCGTCGGTGGAGCAGCCCTTCGTCGTCCACGCGCGGCCGGCCAACGCCGTCGTCGTGGGGGCCCAGAAATCCGCGGGCCCTTGCGCCGATGAGCCGGAGAGTGAAGGGAAAGAGCCCAAAATAGACTCGAAAGGCGATTCAAGAAGATGAGGCTTCTGTGAAAGAGAGCCTAGCAAAGACAGGGAGAAAATCAGAGGCGGTTCCAGCAATTTGGCAACAGCAGATTTCCTCCATTTAAACCCACGATAAATAATCGATTATTGTCGCAGCTCCTGTCCCCTCCAAGAATCGAGGCCCTTGGTCGGCCCTTTATTGCCCTTTTGTCTTCTTTGTCAAAAGCTTTCTCTACCAATTTCAATAATCGGCCCTCAGGTGTAAAATGTAAATCGTGGATAATGGACCAGAACACAAAATTGGGTTTTGATGATTTAAGCTTATATATTAGCAAAAGATAGTAGAATCTGTCAAAGCGCCAAGTATTTAGTCCAATATTAACGGAGATATTGCTCATTGAAGAATACGGTGCATGATGTTATCCACCGCTGCCACCTCGATAGCACCACATCGCTGATTCTGAAAAAGGAGGAAGGTAGTGCTGAGTTTCAAAATTCAGGTAAAAAGAAAATAATCGTGAAAAATATTTTATAAAAGTTTTTACTTTAAAGTGAGTGTTAGTAAAATTAAATACGAAAGTTTTACACGTTTAGGGAAGGATATCGTGAGCCTACTTCTCTCTTTATACTCTCCCCCTCAGCTCAATAAAATAATACATACAGGAGTAAATAAATAATTGAAAGGCTTGGAGGACAAGGCGCATAGTTTGCTATTTCGAGAAGTACATGCTTGAAATTTCGAAATTACATGGATCCTTGTGGCGGAAAGAAAGTTCAAACTAACTTTCTAATGCTTAAAAATTGGAATTTGGAATCGAATATTTTGTAAAGAATATGCATTAAGTAAGACTAAATTTACTTGAAAGTATTAATATCTCAATTTTTCAAAAACTGCACTTATGCGCCTTGTCCTCCAAGCCCCTCAATTGGCAGCACAATAAAATATTACAAAAAAAGGTAAGAACGAAAAACCATGTCTACCCTCTAAAGTTTATAACAAGCATATTAAACATTTTCGGTGATTTGCCGAAACTATTCATGACTGTTTACCCACCATTTCTTTTCATTTCATTTCTTTGGTTACCATCAAGATATCCGATTTGTACGATTTTTGCAGGTATCAGTTTCTCATGCGAGGGGAATCAATTGAAAGTAACATACAGTATGAAGTTTGTCAATATTAGATAACAGGTAGGCGTGTAAAAAACCTCTTGCTGCATTTTTACGGGCAGCGACCTCTCTAATCTCCTCCCCCTCCCCTTCTCAACTGAGCTCCACTGAGTTTTATCTGCTACGTTTATGATCACACCACGGGTCAGGGACTGTGTGCCGTGTACGTTGTGACTTGGCCATTATTGTTAACGCCGAAAGTGGCCGAGTGCTCTTGTTTGTGTTCTCCGTTGACGTCGCTGGAGCTGCTGGAGGCGGAAGAGAACACTGCGTGATAGTTGGGTGCGCCGGGGTGTTGCAGCCCGGGGCCCGCGGGGATGGGGCCCCCCTGGGCGTTGGTCGGGTAAGGGAGGAGACTCGCCTCCCCATGGCCTCCTCCGTTCGGCCCCACGAAGCCGCCGGCCATGGCGCCCTGAACTCCGCCCGTCAGTGGTGCCACCGAGCTAAAAAGAGAACGAACGCACTGTTAAAAAAATGTTAAACTTAGAATCCATTTATACTGACATATTTTATGACTATTTTATAAAGACAATGCGAATTTATTTCTGATTGGTTCCCGTATTTTACACGGAGAAAAAAACTTCGTGCGTGGGACCCGAAGTTGAGGTCATATGGATTTCTGAAGTTTTCGGATCACGTATCTAAAAACTTGAGGTCGAGCTGCCGAAGTTCGGGTCAGACATCTAAAGAACTTCGATATGTATAATATACCGAAGGGTTCGGGTCACACATCTGAAGTACTCCGGTACATACCGAACTACCGAAGTGCCTCGATGTCTGACCCAACTTCGGCAGCTCGACCTCAAGCTTTCGGATGCGTGATCAGAAAACTTCAGAGATCCATGTAACCTCAACTTCGGGTCTCATGCACGAAGTTTTTTTCTCCGTGTAGGCCTTCACAGTGTCACAAATGGGAATAAAGCTTACATTTTCACCAATTGCAAAGATTATAAACTGGAATGAACCGGGAAANGGGGGGGGGGGGGGTACGGCAAGGAAGAAATGGAATGAGAGAGGGAACGGAGACCGGAATTCCAGAATGGATTGATGTTGCAAAAAATGTCCGATTTGTGACATTCATGAGCCGCGTTGTATAAAGGAACTCTCTCTCTATAAAAGGACTCTAGTGAACATTAGCATTGGGATTATTTTTGATCCTCTTGTTCCAGCAGGGTGTCCATCGGTCCCCAAAAGTCCTGAATGTCCCCGATTATCCCCGATTTTGGAAGGGTGTCCCCGATACCCCGGAAGGTCCCCAAAAAGTGACAAAAATCGCCCTAAACACCGGCATTTTCAAATTTTCCCACCAGCCGCGGCGGCGCGGTTTAACCAGGAATAAAAACTGAAGTGTTGCTTGGTTTTTCGTATGTTTTCATCGGTTCTACATGACTTGTAAAATCAATCGTATGAAATACGCCTTTTAACGCTCTAAGTAGCTCCCTTTCTCTTACTATTTCGGGGGGAAAAGTCCCCAATTATGGTTTTTCATAACTGGTAGACACCCTGTCCGGAGGCTGGCATCTCGCCATCTCTCTTTGGATACCATCTACCCACCTTTTAGCTGGAATCACAAAAAGTCTATCTGCGGGCGAGTTAAAAACCCCGAACTACCTGTGGCTTTTGACGTGACTGCTTGCGTGCGATTCCCAAGTCTCTCCCAATTTCGCAAAAATCCCCTCTTCGAACGAATTTCACTTCGCCCAGTAGCACTTCTCAACGAAAAAATCGCTATATATTGCGATTTCATCGGCGATAAAATTGCTGAGATCATCGAAACCTGAGCGATTATCCTCGATCTTATCGCAATAAAATCGCGATTTTATCGCCCGACAATATAACATGATATTTACGAAATAAAAATCGCGATAAATGGTGATTTAATCTCGATTGTATCGACAACAATTGATTGCGATTTTATCGAACCAAAAATTGCAATTCGTAGCGATGTAATCGCCATATATCGCAATTGTTAATGCGATAATATCTTAATATATTGTCACCGATATAATCGCGATAACCAACCGATAAAATCGCTATTTATCGCGATCCCTGTTATACTTGGGCGATTCGGAATCATTCTGATTCGTAGTATTTTGATACTATACTAGATGCAGCCCACATTTCAAGAGGGAAAGAGCAGAAAATGAAATAATGTTCACTTATATATTTACCAGACTCTTTGTAGGTACTGTAGTTTTGCCATTACACAGAATCACATAAGCTTGTGCGCTTGGGATGTTACTTTCCCGTCGCGTATTTCATTTCGTCGAAAGACAGATGGTCATCATCTATATTACAATGCCCGTGCGTTTCCTCAGGATTGTTCTTTAAACATTTCGCTTTTAATCGTCAAACTTAGTGTTTCGAAGGGAATCATTTAAGTAGGTCAAAGGAAACTCTACCCTACATATCTTGCTCGCATACCTAATTTTTTCGTGTTTTCGAGGGTCGTCAACACTATAATACATTTGAATACTGCATTTCTCGGAAAATTGACAATGTTGTTTTCGTCGGTATCGCATGCAACGGATACTGAACGAATTTAATAATAACGCCTGGATGCAACTATGCGAGCTCCATGGATGTCCGTGTTGCATACACGCGGAGGCGAAGGCGTTTTATCTTCAGACACTAACCGCCTCGCGACTCACAAGCAGGGCTAGTTGCTCGCTTGTCTATAGCTTTCTCTATCAATTCCAATAATCAGACCGCAGTCGCTACGATGCCTGCCTAAGTTTTGTCTCCTATAGCACAGTCCACGACAAGTATACTTTAACTTTCGATTTCTGTCAGAGAAACTTCTCAATTGTTTCACCTCGACAAGTAAAATCCATGATCATTGCCTCAGCTGGCGAAACAGATATTTAACGATACTTTTTTCTGCTTTGGCCGAGTGGCTCGGGACAAATCTTTTGCCACGCTGGAACAACTCAGAAATCCCACATTTACACTGATTTATTTTCCACCTTTCAAATATCTCGCGGGATTGAATTGCGGCGCTTTCTTCAATTTCCATCAGCTTAAATGGGTATCTTCCTCTCCCGTCCACACCCCTCACTCAATTATGGGATCTGCAACTTTCTTTCTGAAATGCGCAGATCTAAAAGTATTACGCGCCGCACAGTAGAACGAGTCAACCTTGTAGGTCGGACATGAAATTTTTGACTAAAACCGCAAATATTGATGTTCATTTCGTCACATTTTAAATTTCAAGGGGTGGTTTTAGAAGACAATTTCACGAAAAAACCGATGGAACCACTTTTAGAGCCTCAAAGTTTTTTATGAACAGAGTTATAAGCGTTTAAAGTTTTTAAATTTTGTCCGACCTCTCCTATTGACTCGATCCACTGAGCGCAGTGCGGACAGATAGAAAACTAACGAGTGCAAGAAAGAGCAAAATGTGAATTGAGTTTTAATGTGCCTACCCAGCGAGGTTCTGTCTTCATTCCTCTGCCACATATTTTGTCAATGGTGATTACAGCATTAATATGATGACGCCAAAGAATATTTTGCTGCACGTATAGAAATCGTTTTGGCTCACATGTCTAGTTGGTGAGAATGTGCGTTGGCGTCAAAGAATACAAAAAATGACTTAAGAAAATTTGGAGGCCTTTTGAGTCCTCTTCCCTGATTAATTTCACATGTCTACCGTGTCGTGACTACATCTAGTGAGTGCATCTGCCAGGAATTTGCGATTTAAGTGCAGACGCCTTTGTAAAATTTCGCGAGAAACATACGATAGTGCCACTGGTTTTCACTAAAATCAACTCCAAAATTCAAAAAAAGGTCCCAAAGTTGAATTCGTAGTGGAGAGGATATACCCCATGCTACCCTGAGAGTCCTTCTTTATATCAAGACAAGCTCTATGGAGAAGTTTACCTTCATTCTCAATTTCCTTAAATGGACAAAAAGTGTACCTTCGAGCTGCACGCACAGAGCCTTCGAATTATAATTAAATGCAGCGAATTTCAGGAGTTCGTCTGAATCCAGAAGATCCTCCATTGACATGGAGCTTCCAAGTGGGTCATGTACTGCCGTGCTAAGGAAGAACGCCGTATAAACATTCGAGAATTGCCAAATTTATCTTCATAAGACATGTATGTTTGACGACATTCATACAAATTTTTCCTTTGAGATATTCAGATATTTTAGATTAAATTGCGTACAGAATCGTCTGAAAAGTTCGGAGAAAAATATTCACAGTTCTCCCAGTAAATTCAGTTTTTATCGAAGGAAACTTAGCAACGTCTCAAGGCTTATACGGCGTGTTTCCTAAGCACGGCAGCGTAGCTGTCGACACGTAGCTTTAAGAGGACTGACTAAAGACTGACACCGTTTCCAACCGAAGGAGTAGCAAGAGCGGCACAGTAACGCTACTTATAATCTTTAATTATCGGGAAATGAATACTTATTAAAATATCAAATCTTAGTAAAAGGATTTCAAAAAGGAGGCCACAGCTTTGTTTATTTTCACCCCTCCTCGCTAATGACCCCTCCTTCTCGGAAAGCCTCTCCGGCTCCGCCTGCCTGAGGCAATGCTGTGCCGTGCTTTGTGATATATCGATTGATCTGCCATTTAAACCTATGGACAAGGATCGATAAACAGGCTGTCCGCAACGAACACCTTAATAATCGATTGTTTACCATAGAAAGTGGAGAAATATCGATATGATCATTCACGCCTCGACGCGGCGTCTCACGAAATGCCTCGCAAAGAGCCGAAGCACCTCATTAACTACAACGGTTTTTAAATTGCCCATTGACTTAATGTTTCCGACAACACCTCCTGGGCTCGCGGTGGCTCTTCCGACTGGCGCAAGGAATTGGCACATAAAATCGCGAAATGAAAAAAGGTCTGCCGTCGCGTGGGCCGCGTCCAAGTGAAAAGTACTTTGCACTCCATAGCTTCCAAATTATAGCCCACAATGGAGATGTTGCATGTGTGAGGGATTTGCGATTTGACTCTTGATTCTTACGTAAAAGTGCGCGAGAAACACGATGGTGCCACTGGTTTTCTCTGAAATCAACTTCCTAGCTCAAAAAAAGCTCTCAAGTCGAGGCCAAAATGGCGAGGATATCCTACACTATCCTGAGAGTCCACCTCTACATCAAGACGAACTTTCAATGTAAAAGATAGGGAGCAAATACATTGGCAGAGCTGCCACTTTATTTGTGGACTCCAAAACTGAAAACACGGCAACCCTGCTAATGTATTTGCTCCCTATCTTTGCATGGAGAGTTTGTCTTGAAGTAGAGGTGGACTCTCAGGATAGCGTGGGATATCCTCTCTATTTTGGCCTCAACTTGAGAGCTTTTTTTGAGCTTGGGAGATGATTTCAGAGAAAACCAGTGGAACCATCGTGTTTCTCGCGAACTTTTACTTAAGAATCAATGGTCAAATCGCAAATCCCTCACACATGCAACATCTCCATTGAGGGTCTTGGAGGACAAGGCGCATAAATGCAGTTTTGGCTATTTCGAGAAATGCGTGTTTACAGTTTCAAAAATCACGTAGAGCTTCATAGCAGAAAGGAAGTTTTTACTCACTTTTTGATGCTTAAAAATTGGAACTTGGGAGCGAATATTTTGCACAGAATATGCATTAAGACTAGATTTACTCGAAAGTATTAATATCTCAATTTTTTCAAAAACTGCACTTATGCGCCTTGTCCGCCAAGCCTCTCAATTGAAAGTGGCATGCACTATGATGTTTGTTACTATTAGATAACACGTAGGCGTGTAAAAAACCTATTGCTGCATTTTTACGGGCAGCGACCTCTCTGATCTCCTCCACCCCCCCTCTCCACTGAGTTTTATCTGCTACGTTTATGACAGAATATGCATTATGACTAATTTTTTCAAAAACTGCTCTCATGCGCCTGTCCTCCAAGACCCTCAATTGGCAGAATACTAAAATTTTATACAAACATTTTATACACAAATGGGAGGAAGGAACAGAATGAAAAACCATGTCCACCCTCTGAATTTTTAACAAACATATTTAATAATTTTCGGTGTTTTTCCAAAACCATACCAGGGCCGGATTTACCCACTTGCCACCCATGGGCCGCCTGTATTTTGCCGCCCCTTTCTCATTCGTTTTGAAACATCGATACAAACCGTCAAGTGAACGTGCCGGAGGAGGAGGGGTGCATAAGACACGTTTACTCGTGTTGGGCACATTTTTTGTAAAAGCCCTGTCAACACTAGCAAAAGTTCCCGGAACTTTGCGCAAAAGTTAAGTTCCGTAAACCTATCTCTGTGTGGACAAGGTCTTTCGTTTATAAGAAATGAAAGAAAAAATTATGAAGGAATAAACATGAATGTGGTTTAATAATTTTAATTTCCGCCACCGCGCCAACCGCACTGTGTTTGGCGCAATGCGTGAAGTATCCCTACAGTCTTGTAGGCGCTATGTGTTTCACACCGACCGCTGCTGACCGCACTGTTTTTGACGCAATGCGTGAAGTATTCATGCAGTCTTGTAGGCAGTATGAGATTCACGCCAACCGCTGCTGACCGCACTACGATTGACGCAGTGCATGAAGTATTCATGGAGTCCCGCAGGCGCTAATATGTCTTTCATTCTGACTGGCGCGCCGAGGGCTTCTCCTTTTCATCTCAAGTCCTCGTCATCATTGCTCTCTGCGCCGTTCCGCTCCAGGCCAAATTGCGTGTTTGGTCTCTCTCTCAACTAGACTAATGAAAGGCGCTGTCTTGTGTATCACCAAAAAACGAACGAAATTAGAAATTACTATACTTTAACTCTCAGGAAATGAGAGATTTTGTCGCCTTTTCTCGTTTGCAATTGCTTTCCTGAATCCGATTTTCTTTTGTTGATACCTACATTTGAAAAAATTGCAACATTTGCCGCCATGGGCCGCGGCCCATGTGGCCACCCCCTAATTTCGACCCTGGCCAAAACTATTCATAACTGTTTACCCATCATTTCTTTTTTGACTTATCCTCAAGGAATCCGATTTATATGCTTTTTGCAGGTATCAGTTTCTCATACGAGGGAAATCGTTCATGAATGAGTCAAGTGGCATTTTTTATTTTTTAGGTAATCTCCTTTAAAGCTTAAAATTACACACGGACAAAGGACATAAATAAAGTATTCAATCATCGAAAATTGGACGTATTTCTGCCAAACGGAACTATGTGTATTATGACGTGAGCCCTGTAATGCATGTATTTTCGTGGGTCTCAGGGCTCATGTCTTGATGCACTTTAGTTCCGTTTGACAGAAATACGTCCAATTGAGGAGATAAAACGAGGTGTGCGGAGTTAAATTGTTTCATTTGCAAAATGTGATTAGAAAAGCGTTATAATACGTAACCCTTTGAAGATTAATGCGAAAAAATTCGAGTGATTATCATTTCTACTAAAAATATGACCGAAAAATGTGTTGTCTGTTACGGCGACAAAACTATTCTAGTTATCGTGAAACCACCCTTTTACAGAATTCCTTCGCAAACACTATCGAGACGAACTTAACCGGAAAATTTGAGGTGCATGGATAAAACGATATTTATTTTATTAAGTTTGAAGTTCCAAAAAACCCGGGAAAATCTTGATGGATTTACGGCGTTCTTGCTTAGCACGGCAGTATTGTGGAACAAGGTTGCGATTCAATCAATCAATCAACAGATACCCACCTCGAGACATAGTTTGCAACAGATTGCCTTTGAGCTTCAATTTGCCGTTGAATGATTGCCTGAAGTTGAGCTATGTATTGCTGCAAGTAACTTGTGTAAGTGTATAAATTATTGAGTGAATTGTATGGCATATGAGGATAGTTAGGTGGTCTGGGAGGGGCGTAGTAGTTTCCATTGTAGGCGCCTGCTTGCCATGATCCTTGAGGAGCACCTGGGAGAGAAATCAAAAATAGCCATGGTGAGACTAGAAAAATTCGTATATTGGTTTACTTACGACAACTTCCCGCTTCATTTTATTTTAATTTGAAGAAAAAACCAACAGGCCACTCCTCCACTTTAGCCATTGATGTGTTAGCCGCCAAATTACAAAAAATTTCTTCACCTCAATCTTCTCGACCTATTTGGATGAAGCATTGAAAAATTACTGCAGATACTCTGACGCAACTACTTTGTAACTTTTGTGACTTTAGAGGTCTGTCACCTGGTGGAGTCCAAGTTGTAAAACGTCTTATATTCAAGGGGGAAAAGTCTTATATCAATCGAAAAGATCGCGTTTTGAAATAAGTATACTCATAATCAATTATTATCTCACACTGATCATTAATAATAAGATGGAGGCCTAAAAATGCTATATTGTTTTGATAGTCACTACTAATATGTTTAGAAGGAATGAAAGTTTACCTGATTTGGCTAAATTAATGGACGATGTAGCTGAGATTGACGGTTGTTGGCTGGAATCAAAATCTGCAAGAGATGAAACGGCTTAAATAACTCGACGATAAATAACTACCTACATAATATTTGCATTGAGCGGATAGAGGTGAAAACACTCCCTTTAGAAGTTTTCAGTATCCGCCCTCTCTTTATTTATGTAACTTAAATTTTAACTGCCCTTTATTTTATTGTAAGACCAGTTATTTGTCCTTAGTTTATCAGTTAATATCTATCAGCCTATATTCCCCTTTCTCCCCCATTGCCCTTTCTCTTTACTTTGTGTTAATTAAATTTAGCTCTCATAAAATTACTGTAAGTCCAGCTGTACCCCCATCTCTTTCTCCAGCCGATATGCTCGTTGCAAATTCCAATACGCTTTTATTAGGATCACTCAATAGTGTATCGTTATGTATTTTCTACTAATAAAAGCATTTTATTAAAAAAAAAAAAAGTTTCCAGTGTTCATTTTGATCTTTTTTTGAGGAGGCTATTATAGAAATTGTGTTTATATAGGATGTAAAACCTACTCGCCACCTCACGATTTCCCCGGAAAATACTTTCAAAATATGCACACAGGTGGCTTAAGTCGGAAAAAGCTTATTGTAGATTGCAAAGTTGTTAAGTTTCCGCTCATGTTTCACTTCCTTTAAGGGAAAATTAACCACTAGATTCAATTGCTACTTCTATGGATTTAACGTTTTAGGCGCGAAGCGCTTAGAGGGGTTAGAACACGAAGTAGTTAGGGGGCGTAGCCCTCTGGTAAAAAAAAAAAAAAAAAAAAAAAAAAAAAAAACAGAATTGCACGGAAACATTTTGATCAGTTTGTCTTCAATAAAATAAAACTCCTTCAAAGGTTTTGAAATGTTGCAATTGAGAAACGCGTTTTCGCATTTAGCTAAGCCTCACTTATTCCTTCACCGCTTTTAAAAAACGTAATTGGATGCGATAGGATGACCTCAGTTTGATAATTCGAAGCCCTAGAAGACCACACGGAAGTACTTCACATCAAAAATTCAATCCTATTCTGCGATGAAAGAGCTATCACACATTACGAACATTCTCAGACTGTCTCCGATTGGTCTCTGCGGGAAGGAGAAAAATAAAGGAGCATCGTGATAGGTAGGTAGCTTACCGTCAGCTCCTGCGCAGGCCGCAATAATCAGGGCAAAAACTTGAAGCAACGAAAACGACACCATTTTGAAGCGACTTGTTGCGGTATCAAGTGACATCACATAATCTCAATCACTCGGATTTCTGGATAGTAAAGCGTGTAAAAAACGAAATTGCGTACGGAAATTATGGAGAGAACAATAAGTGAACGTAAGAAGACTCGGTCTTATCAGTGGTTTGAGAATCCCGGCGGGGATTAAAATCGCATTAGCTAATTGCCGATTTATCACACCCGCGAATCAGTCTACAAGTCGCGATACATCACAGGCAGTGGTCAGCTTCTCGGAGGCGTCGACTAGCTACCCAGCTGACTCACCATTTCGTTTATTGTGCTTTTGCGAGTGGTGTTTTACGCTTTGATGGGAAGAGCACGACTAGGGAGGCACGATCTCAACTTCGTCGGAGAGATCATTGTCAAGGCCACAGGCAGCCCACGGGAAAACCCGTCGAGAGAATCCCAAGAATTTTTCTATTACTAACAAGAATGGTGGTACTGTGTGCACATATTAAGGGGTGTGCGGAAAACTTTATGTAAATACAGGATGATGTAGGGTCACACAACACACATCCGCATGCACTAAGATGGTTTCATGTTTTTTCAGCGCGATTTTCAACTTCAGGCTTAAAATTATGCTCCTAACTTTTGGAGGAGACCAGGGATTTTTTTTATCAGTTTCTGGCGATTCTATAGGATTTTTCCACCCAAAATTTTGGTGAACTTAATTTGATCTAAAACTAATCAATATATATGTAAGGGCGCTTTACAACGCACTCTGGCGTTCTACGACACCCAAACGCCACATAATGCCTGTATTCCCAGAGGTTATCGGGCAACTGACACCGCAACATCTCTTCGTCAACGCCCTCCTGCCGCCAACCCTTTACGGGACGTCCCCTTCGCCTCTTCCCAGGTGGTACCCAATCCAAAACTTGTTTGGGCAACCTCTCTCCTCCTAAAACTAATCAAACCGATCAAAAATAATTTAGGAAAAGCTTTTATTTCATATCATTATTTTCTTGCGACCACCAGATTGCGAGATAATTGCCCCCAAAGTTCAGCAAAATAAATGATGTTGATTTGTTTACATGTTCTCAATTATGAAGGAAATTATTCCGTATTGATGCACTTTCCTATTTCTTTTTGAGTATTGCCATGATTTTTATGTTTTGAAATTAAATCAACAGTACTACTGGGTGGGAGGGGGGATCGCCTCGAAAGTGGCCAAAATCGTTAAAAACTCCTAAATCCCATCTGCTAAATTTAGGAGCCTAATTTTAAGTTCTAAAATGGAAAGTGCCATTAAAAAGACATAGTCTCATCCTCATTTGGGTTGAAGTAATATCAAAATTAAGGGCAGAATTTGAGATGAAGGAAATGGTTTTACGGAAATAAGGTGGGCCATAGTTCACAGGGGAGGCGGAGCGGAGAGGCAGCAAAGCCGCAAACGGAATGACGTATAATAGTGGGGCCGATAAGTGGAAAATATCATAAGAATCGTGCACTTCTGGAAGAAAGCATGAAAATTTCAGGGATTCATCTCTACCCTATAGACATTCGATTCAGACATAGACCCCAAAAATCTGAGCCCCCTGGGGGGGCAGGGGGGCCCCCAAATTTTGAATTTTGAATAACTACTGAACGGCTAATGTTAGCGTAATTTTTTTTAAGCAGGACGATAGGAAATTTTATCAGGAACAAAAATGGTTCTTATGAATTTTTCTGTGGGATCGATATTTAAGGCGTGAAACGGGAAAAACCATCGGGGGACGGGGAGCCGGCCGTTCTGAGGCAGATCCGCGCGCTGCGCTGTTTGCCCGGGACGCGCGCGGCGGCGCAGTACGGTGTTACCGACGAAACAGCCGCTTGTCTTGGTTTAATCTCAACGATGCGCAGTTTTAAAAATAATAATGAATTTACCGTACTGCCTAAATACTTTTCCTCAGTAATATAAGCTCTACTTTTTATTAGTAATACATAAAAACAAGCAAAAGCGAAATACTCCAATGTGAGAGCGCCGAGTCAATAGGAGGGATCGGTCATCGCGCATCACGCGTCTTGTTTTCTCTGAATGCAGAGCTTTTCCGACCTCATTACAGAGTAAATTACCCTTTCCTCACGTAAGTTTTGTACAGGATTACATTTTTTTTAAGATATTAGAGCGAAATAACAAGTTTTAATACGATTTTGACCCACTTTTTCATGACTATTGGAAATGGCGGATCCTTCGTAACTTATTTTTAGCTTATTTTTCATGTTACTTTCGGCGAATGAGACAATGAGCTGCTTACATAACCATGAATTTTGCAAAACTTGGTAGAGATATTAATTGAGGAGTGTGGAGGGAGGGGAGGGGGGCTCCACAGTCCCTTCGCCACTATAAGGTTACCAGATTTCCTTCAGAATGAAGGAAATATCGTTTTTCGTTCATGTTCATTGGTTTCTCGCAATTGCATAGGTACTGATTCATACGGAACATTCCGACAATGTTCTTTTCTCCTCTTTTTCCCTCCAGCCAGTCAATAGAAGTTTTCATTTTCATGAACTCCCCATTTTTTCAGTTATTCAACAAATATGCATATTTCAAAAAAAATAGAACAATACATTAAATAAAGGATAAAAAAGAAGATATCTGAATACTATCGCCTCTTTTTATCGAGTCATCCTTGAAGATATTATTGGTACTTACCACGACACATAGAAAATGGAATGAGCAGTAAAAAAAATCCATGTATATTATCTTACATTTTGTTGTATGGAATTTAGAGTGGAGTTGGTAACATTTGTATTGAAAAAAATATTAATATAGGAGGAAATTTATTTATCATGTAGGTTCTGATTCTTTAAAGAACCTCTGAGAAGGACCAGGCCTCAGGAAAAAATTCATTGCATTTCTTCTTTTTCAACCCGCAAATCTCGTACCGATTTTTGATTTGTATGGAGCTCATGGAAGAGTTCTAGGTAAGTATGTCGGAGACAATTTTCAAGAAACGGGACTTGCAAAATATGCAATGCACAAAACGTACACCTTAAACTTTATCGTACATTATAACACTGATCGAATTAGCTTTAGAGATTATCAAAAGGTTAATTTATCGTCAAAATATCAAAAAATCAGTCAAAATCAGTAATCAGTAATCAGTTGCAAAATTACCGAGATTGCGGAATATCGTACCTATGATGCGCTGACTTAAGAGCAGGATAGGTTCCCAGTACTTAGGCGCTACTCCCTATCACTCAAATGGACCGTTTTGACAGATTAGCGGATACGGCGGCTAGTTATTACTTAATAATATTCTTTGTACTGTACAAGAAGCAGTCCAACAAAGGTTTTTTGGGGGTCATTTATCCCTATCAAGCTTTCTCAAGATTCTTTTGCCGTTTTTTTGGAGCAAGTTTTGAAGGTGGTTTTGGTCCTCTTAAAAAAATGCCTGTACGTAGCAATGATGTACCAAAATGTTCCTAAAAGAGAGGAGAATAAACATGTTTTTATGTATGCTCATTGTTTACAAAATTAGGCTCCCTGTCTTAAGTAAGCATATTTAGATACCATCCTGATGTCGCAGCACCGAGAGAAAGAGAAAGAAAAACACTTTAAAATCGTTTTTCAGGTCATCGTGGTACACAAATAAGATTTGTGACTTTTAGCCCCCCCCCCCCCCCCCTCCCGAGACAACTGTGCCTCAGATTTTATTCCGTTCAACTGATGTCTGATGCAGTTATCTCGGATGCTGTAATAAAATTTGACAAACCCACACAACAAAACATTTCGGAACTCCAGCACTTAACCCCTTCTCTTTCTGTCGCCGTGCGCTCGCTTGTATACATATATTACCTGCATAAGTTAAGCCCTATTTCAAGGCTTTATAGGTAGTACGATATATTCACAATGTACTTTTAAAACTGCGCATCGTTGAGATTAAACCAAGACAAGCGGCTGTTTCGTCGGTAACACCGTACTGCGCCGCCGCGCGCGTCCCGGGCAAACAGCGCAGCGCGCGGATCTGCCTCAGAACGGCCGGCTCCCCGTCCCCCGATGGTTTTTCCCGTTTCACGCCTTAAATATCGATCCCACAGAAAAATTCATAAGAACCATTTTTGTTCCTGATAAAATTTCCTATCGTCCTGCTTAAAAAAAATTACGCTAACATTAGCCGTTCAGTAGTTATTCAAAATTCAAAATTTGGGGGCCCCCCTGCCCCCCCAGGGGGCTCAGATTTTTGGGGTCTATGTCTGAATCGAATGTCTATAGGGTAGAGATGAATCCCTGAAATTTTCATGCTTTCTTCCAGAAGTGCACGATTGTTATGCTTATCGGCCCCACTATAATTTCGCAGCTGGCCATTTTAAAAAAAACCAGTATACATATACTGAGAAATATGATTTACCATTGATTAACATAATAAGAACTGACACTAATCATTCCAAAGTCAGCGTTGATTTCGGTGTAAAGTATAACGGAAAAACCGAGAAAAACGGAAGTCAACTGATGGTTTGCACTGACCCTGTGTTAATTTTCACGCAGTGTGCGGATAAAATATTTGAATGAAATATTGAAATTTTACTTCCACGCGGATATGAATATCAAGAATTTTGAGTCATAATCGGTAACAGAGCTTATCAAACCTTGGCCTCTACGTCAATCGTGCATTGGTTTACACCTCTATAAAAAGAGGTGGAGAGGAGGAAGAGAGCATGAAAAAGAAATCAAATCATGAAAAGAAAAATTAGACCTTGCGCTGTTTTATAAAGGCACGATCCGATTTTTAAAATCTTGGTCTCGACTTTATCTATGACCCTCGTTGATAAACTATCATAGCCAGATAGAGAATATACCGATGAATACAACACATAAAAGTAAACTGCATTGCAGCACCTCATCCACGGGCGAATTGGAAGTGATGGGTGTAGGTATTAGACTTTTCATTTATTTCTGTAAAGACTTTCTCTGCAGGACGTTGCCCGTAACATATCGACGGTGAAATTACCAAACCACTTATGTCGGTTTGCGACGTTGCAGACTTCCTGTCATACTTAATTTTTTAAATGAAAAACTACTTGACATTAATTCTTAAAACTTTCGCGATTTTTCTTCTCTAAGCTAAGAACACTCTGAGTAAACTTCAAGGAATGATATTGATTTGTTCTCCTCCAAAAAAATAAAATGGGAGCGGAAATTTTGAAACATCACAAACAAGATATGTTGACTGCTAGTTTTACCGGCGATTCATGTCTTTGATACTTATGTGTATACTGTTAGCCTGTTTCTCGTGGACTTTGAGCCCCTTAAAAAATTGGAATAATACCTGTATTATACAGGTCTATTTTCAATTTATCAAAACTGAAAAAAAAATTATGATCAGAAAAAAAAAGTTAAAATTAAAATATTTCGGACAAAGGGTTTTCAAAGTTAGAGAAAATTTACAACCAATAGTGATTAAAAGTGAAACGCAATATTGTCTTTTTTCTAAGAAACAGGTCTTCGAATTTCATTTCCTGGCAAGTCTCACATTTCTTCCAAAGCTATAATTGCTGGACGCAGTATATTTGGTGGTATCCCCCTCAAAATGAAGGCACGGAGTAAATGCTGTTTTATGCAATATTAGGTAGCCTTCAAAGCTTTAAGTGATTTTGCCATATTTTTTTTGTTGCAGCGTATGCGAGTGTAGCATAAATTCCTTTATTGAAACCAGAAACTTCGTTTAATCTGTTGATAAAACCTACATCTATATGCCATTCTTAACCCCTTCTTCCTGCTCCCGCAATTTGTACACCGCTCCTCCGTTAAGAATGCCCGTACTACTGGTGCGGTTGTATGAGAATTATGAAGCGTGCTATTTGGACCGCGTTTAGCAGAAAGGAACCAAACCACATTATCTATTGCCAAATATAATCGGCAGGGCTGAATTTAGGGGGTGGCCACATGGGCCGCAGCCCATGGCGGCAAATTTAGGGAGCGGCAAATTTTACATTTTTTTAAAATGTAGCTATGAAGGAAAATCGGATTCAGAACAAAAAATACAAACGAGAAAAGTTGACAAAATCTCTCACTTCCCGAGAGTATATCTCTAATTTTGTCGTCTCTCTGTGATACAATAGACAGCACCTTTAATTAGTCGAGTTAAGACTAAAGAGAAACCGAACACGGAATTCGGCCTGAAACGGCGCGGCGCAAAGAGCAGTAATGACGAAAACTTGAGATGAAAAGGAGAAACCCTCGGCGCGGCGGTCGGCATGTGACACATATTAGCGCCTTCAAGACTGCATGAATACTTCACTTATTGCGTCAAATACAGTGCGGTCAGCAGCGCAGCGGGCGGCGTGAAACGCATAGCGCATACAAGACTGCATGAATACTTCACGCATTGCGCTAAACACACTGCGATCAGCGTGAAACGCATAGCGCCTACAAGACTGCGTGAATACTTCACGCATTGCGCCAAACATGGTGCGGTCGGCGCGGCGGCGGAAGTTTAACACATCGAACCACATTTATGTTTGTTCTTTCATAATTTTTTCGTTCATTTCATATAAATGAAAGGCCTTGTCCACACAGAGATAGGTTTACGGAACTTAACTTTCACGCCGAGTTCCGTGAACTTTTGCTAGGAGTGTTGACAGGGCTTTCGCAAAAAATGTGTCCAACACGAGTAAACGCGTCTTATGCAACCCTCCCCCTCCGGCACGTTCACTTGATGGTTTTCATTGATGTTTCAAAACGAATGAGGAGGGGGCGGCAAAATACAGGCGGCCCATGGGCGGCAAGTAAGTAAATCCGGCCCTGATAACCGGGCAATTTATTTTTTTACAATAGAACGTTTGCGCGGATTCTTTTGAAAGTTTTAAGGGAATTGCTTATAGTATGCAAAAAATTCACTGGAACATGCACAAAAATCCGCACAACTATTTTCATGTAAAAAAGTGAATTGCCCAATAAAATTTGGCTATAGCTGATGTGGCTTGGTTCCTTTCTGCTTAATGCGGTCCATTTGTGAAGGGGAGATTCTGAAGGAAGAGCTGATCAGACGGCCAGCCGCTCAAAAGTTGGGAGACTAATAATTTATTAATCCAATTAAAGCAAAAGTTAGGAACAATCGTAGTAGAAAATAGTAAGATTAATCTTGGTTGGGCAGAGTCATGACTGTTTTATGAAACAAATCACACTAACGTCACTCAAATACTCAAACAGATGTTGACGTACCCTTTCGACATCAGACTGATTCACATAGCTTTACGAGAGGAAGACAGTCTTTTAATCCAAGCTAAGTTGATTTCATTTTTATGGCGGTAGGGGTACAAGGCAGTTCCAAAAAAATTAAATAGATCTCGGTTTTTCAAACTAGCGAATTAAAAAAGTTCAGTGTTTTTTAAACGATGCGCAGGAAAATAGTTCTCACGTAAAAGTGGGTCAGACTGACCGAGTCAGGCTCTTTTGAATTAAGTCAGACTAAGCAAGACTGAGTCAATCTGAGTCAGTATGAGTCAAACTGCTTTATGCAGAACAAATCTTTCTAATTTAAGGTAAAGATATATTATTTTGAGATCAGCCGGAATCAGTCTGACGTCGAACTGACTTGATTTACTTCATCTTCCAAAGAAAAAAATTCAAGTGGAAACTGTACGACGTCGCGAATACGTGTTTCATTCAATAATTGCGGCTCATTCGTCGTTTTCTGCCGTGCTAAGGAAGAACGCCGTATGAACTTTCGGGAGTTGCCGACTTTCCTTCGATAAAACGTTACTTTTTAGGGGAAGTTATGAATATTTTTCCTTGAAATTTTCAGAAACTTCACATAAAATTACGAGCAAAATTTCCTAAAAAAGTGGAAAGAAAATATTTATAAGTTTACCAGGAAATTCACGTTTTATCAAAGGAAATTTTGCAACGCCTGAAGGTTCATACGGCGTTTTTCCTCAGCACGGCAGTTTTGGCGATCTGATGATGGCCTCAGGCGATTTTCGCAGACAGAATACTCCTCATTTCATTATCGACATCACACCTCATCTCTCGGTTATTTGCGACGAAATATTATTTAGCCCGAATCTGTCGTATTTTCGTTCAGCTTCTATGCAGGCGATGGTTGTCGTTGGAAATGTTACACTTTTTGTCTGAAGTTTGTTCCTTTTTTAGGTGATCTTGGTCAGTGTCACGTGATGCTTCGTGGTTTGATCTTGCTTACGGTCGTTTGTTTCATTGATGGCTCCCCTACTGAAGGTAAATATTTTTACGCCGCACAGTGGACCCAGTGAATCAGAGGTCTGACATTAACCTTTTGACTAAAACTGCAAATTTTTACGTTAATTTCGTCACATTTCGGGGTGCTTCGAGAAGCAAATTTCACGAAGAAAAACCATTGGAACCACTCTCAGAAGCTCGAAGTTTCGTATGAACGGAGTTATAAGCGTTTAAAGTTTCCAAATTGTGTCCGACCTCTCCTATTGACTCGATTCACTGTGCGCCGTGCTCCCCTAGCCTAGGTTGGGAATGGAAAATAATGAAATAATGACTGTTTTCAGTTTATTTATCTTTATTCGCTCATTCCCCAACCGAACAGCTTTAAATTTTGTACGCCTTATCTTAAAATAAGTAAGAGTGAGCAACAGTCTCCGAAAGTCAATTACCAGTTCTATTTTTTTTTTTTTTTTTTTTTTTTTTTTTTTTTAGAATGAACGATATCAAAAATATAAAGATTTTTGACTTCCAAGACGAGAATTCTTATCCGTAGGATCTTAGTGCGGTTATACGCGGGGACGAAAATTCTCGCCTACAGTGAGTCAAAGGGTTAATGCAAATAATACAGCGGTCTCTTTAAGAATGATCCTTTCCCTCAAAGACGACCTACTCCCACCCAAGTTCAAAATAATAGATATTCTCCGTACCAATACTTACGTAAATGATATTGCATTCGAGGTTTATCGTTAATATCTGCAGCTGTGTTGGTATCTTCTGTTTTGAAAATTAATTTTTTATTTATTGGTCAAGTGATGCTAAAATCTCTTGACCTTGACCTGTTCAAGGTCAAGAAATTTTGGCATCAAAACTCCAGACTTCAGATGTTGTCTTCGCTATATTTTATTATTTAGGCATATTCTTAACTTATACCTACCTATTATGCCGAGTAATTGTTGAACCTGTTGTTTTTCCTCCTTTCTTTTTTTTTGTCTTTTGCAACACTACTAGCGCGTTTATGAACTGTAGGTGCGTGTTTTTACTTGTGCACTATCAAGGCTCGTTATATTTTGACGAGGCAGCCACGAAATAACAAGGAAAATTGTTCATTCAATCTTAACTCATGACTGAGTGGATAATATAATGGACATAAAACGAAAGGAAGAGACTCATTCACAGATCAAGATTCCAGAAACTTGCAATTATTAAAAGATGCTTAATTGCTGAAGTAGCAATTTTTCTCGGGCAGAATTTAATTTGTAGACGATGCTGCCCACTGAGGTCATAAAAAAACTAATTGAGCCGAGATTAAAAGCTCTCTTCCAGCGTCAAACGCGTTTCTCCTCGAGCGGCGTAGACGTAGTCGCGCACTGCCTCTGCTAAGGTAAAACCCCGTATGCGCACATCGACGGTGCCAAATTTCCTCTGGCGTAAGTTCGAACTGACAGGGTAACGCATTATTCTTTTCTGTTATTTTTTTTTTGGAATATTTACCTCATAACTATTTAATTAAGCGTCACTGAAAATATCAAGAAAAAATAGGCATAACTCTTCCACTAGAATCATATTTTATAAGGGGAAATTCGGCAACATTTGATTGCTCTCACGGCGTTTCTCCACGGCGCAGCAGCGTACTGCCGTGCTTAGGAAAAACGCCGTATGAACATTCGAGAGTTGCCAAATTTCCTTCAATAAAAAGTTTATTTTTGAGGAAAGTTATGAGTATTTTTCCTTGAAATTTTCAGGAGCTTTAGGTGAAATTGCGAACAACATTATCTGAAAAATTGGAAGAAAAATATTCGAAAATTTACCAGGGAATTCGCGTTTTATCGAAGGAAATTTGGCAACGCTTGAAGGTTCATACGGCGTTCTTCCTTAGCACAACAGCGTAGTACCACACTCGATGACTCGCTTCCATTCATAATTTCGAGTTCATTTCATTGGCATGGACGAGGCGCGCGGTGCAGAAACGTCTTCATCTGTAATTGCTCTAATCATTGTAACCTGTCAGTGCTGAGTGTGTTAATTCTACCTACTTACCTAAAACGTTTTGCCGACATGCATTATTCATCGGCTAACTCAGGTTTTCTACGTGTCTCTCTCCCCCCTTTCTTTAATCCCCTTTCATCTTATTTTTCATTATCCGTCCCCTGGCACTTCCTCCTCTTTTCGTGACTCCTCTTCTTTCTTTGTCTCCTTTTGCGAAGTTTGGCGAGGTACCGAATAAGTGATGACTACCACAGTTATTGGTACCCTCCATGAGTGGTTAATCTGAGTTTTTTCCCTTTTTTTCTGCTGGTTTATTGACTGATATTCCGTTAGGATCTACAGCCATCGATAGACAAGATTTAGTGTCCTTAGACATTAGAGGATTTAAGCACATCCATGCTCCAGGCTTCGAATTTTCAGGGATTAAGGTCAAGTAGTTTCTGCAGATCCACTCAACAGTTCCGTGAAAATTTGTCGCCACCACCGGGATTCGAACCCGGAACCTATTGACCGAGAGTCGGACGCGCTGACCACTATGGTCATATGGTCAGTTTAGGTCATATAGATCTCTGAAGTTTTCAGATTGAGCATCCGAACACTTAAGGTCTAGCTGTCGAGGTTCACGTCAAACATCTGAAACTTCAGTTCTTACATCTGAAGTACTTCAGTTCTCATATCTGAAGTACCTCAGTTCTTACATCTGAAGTACTTCAGTTCTTACATCTGAAGTACTTCAGTTCTTACATCTGAAGTACTTCAGATGTGAGAACCGAGGTTTTTCGGATGTGAAAACCGAAGTACTTTAGAAGTAAGAACTGAAGTTTCAGATGCGTGATCCGAACCTCGACAGCTAGACCTTAAGTGTTCAGATGCTCAATCTGAAAACTTCAGAGATCCATATGACCTAAACTTCGGGTCCCACGAACGAGGTTTTTTTCTCCGTGTAAGATGCCTCTACTGATACTGAGCCAAAACTGTTGATTGCAGATGCTGCCGGTGCAGAGTCATCTTCACTGCCATTGGCATTGCCAGTGTCACGGGCTGGGGCAGGGGCAGAGGGTGAGCGGGCGAGCGGTGGTGGTGGGGATCCGGGTCAGGTGAAATCGGCCGTGACGACGTCCAAACTCCCGGCGTTCCCGCTCCCGATCTTCGGCGAGGACCCGCGCCCCAGCCCAGGCGACACCCGAAAGCTCATGCGCGTGCCGAAGAACCTGGTGCGCGGGCTGAAGGAAGCGATGGAGGCGGTGCGGCGGAAGCAGGAGACGCTGATCGCGCATCTGGAATGCAGCCTCGGCGCAGGCGCAGTCGAGGCGTGCGACGCGCAGGCGCAGCGTCCGCCCGAGGTCAAACTCGACTGGACCACTTACGTCGCCGACGACCAGACGCCCTACCTCCTCGAGATCAACCACTTCTTCAAGGGCAACCCCGTCGACCTACCCCTCGAGATCGTTACTCCCGTCATGCAGATGTTCAACGGTAAGACCAACGCGGAGACGAGAGACCCTCCGCTGGCCTCTTGGCAACAGGTGGAAGCTTTTACTTTCGGGGATTCGACGATTCCTCATGGACAATTGGACGGAGTTAAACAGAAAGGAACCAAGCCACATCGGGATCGAACCGAGAAAAAGGGGGTTAAAGTTTAGCTCCTGCATAAGACTCAATGTAAAAGATAAACTTCAAGTTCAATTTCTGCACTATTTGCTCCAACAAAAACTTTGAATTTTTGGCGATAGACAGTAGAGCAGTGGTTGAGTTCAAAACCACTCATAACTCAATTTTTTCCAAGATAAGGGTTGGTTCCTTTCTGCTTAACTCAGTCCAATTATAAGGGAGCAACAGTTATAATAGAGAATTTGCAGGTGTCTGAAATTTGATGAATTTCGTGTTAAGTAGAAACTACTGAATGAACGGAACAAGAGGATACTCTTTGTTCATGAATTGAACAATTATTATTGGAGGATATGACAAAATTATCTAATCTGCCAAAATACACGTGTTTAAATGGGAAATGCCGCCAGATGACGTCACTAGGTGGTGCATTTTCTCATTTTTAAAATCTATTTTTATACTATTTCCCACATCAGAAGAAAAAATCATAAAAATACTGTGAAATCAGCCCTCTGAGCACTTTCGGATGAAGCAAGTAAAAAGTTGCATGCAAATTCTCCATTTCAGCTGTTGACCTACCCACATGGTGGATGATGAGCTTCGGGTGCCGTCATGAGCTAAACAAGTTTCCCAAACTTCGGCTTGTTTGCAAAACGAAACTGCCAACACGTTTTTGAACACCAAAAATGTAGGTTAGTCAACAGTAGAATGCTGAAATCCCGAAAGTAAATAGCTTCCACCATGCCAAGATACTAGTGGAGGGTGTTTTGTCTCTGATTTCAACTCTCTTTGCATCTAGAGAGACACTTTTTTGGAGACTTTAACGCAAGAGTAGAAAAACAAGAGGGAAAGCCTCGCCCTGTGGGCCTCGAGGGGTTTTGTGAGACTTGCTTCCGGGGGCTTAGCATTAAAATAGCAACCCCTTTAGCATTAAAATAGGCCGAATGTTTTCCGCGTGTTTTACTTTTCTAGCCGTTCGTTAAAGTCTCTGAGTAAATTATTATTTAGATCGCATTTACCAAAAAGGAACCAGTGCGATTACAGTGTTGTAAGAACGTTGCTTCTTTATAATTTTTTGGGTAATGTCCCAGAACAGCAACTTTTTTTTTTGCTTCCCACCAAAAAATTGTCAATTTTAAAGAAAAAGAACTGTGTCAATTTTAATACTGTACATATATTGAGTATGTTTAAAAGAAAATGAGTTGCACAGCTTTGAAAACACCGTAATCGCGTAATGGTTCCTTTTCGCTAAATGCGATCCACATAATAATTTACTTAGAGACTTCAACGAACGGCTAGAAAAGTAAAACAAGCGGGAAAGCTCTAATATATTAGAGAAGCGCTCAGTTATTTTCAATGTAGGCGGATTCGTAAGTTCCTCGAAGAAAATGAGCAACGTTGAGTGAAAGAACTCGACTCGCAGTTTCAACTATCAATTTTGAGAAAACTACACTACCGCTACCATTAAATAGCGTGAAATTTTGTGTGCTTTATCCAAAAGTACGTAGGAGTGAAGATCAGTCACCAAAAGTAACTTATTAGCACCCATTTTTTTTTAAAAAAAGAAGAAAAAAATACACCAAAAATGAAGCTTTTTGAAGTTCCAAGACGAGAATTCTTTAATGCAGGGTCTTAGTGTGGTTGCAAGAATACAAGGATTCTCTCCCATAAGTGTCAAAGGGTTGACGTTTTCAAGGTTTCCTGATTTGACCTTTTCTCAGGTGCCGTTACTGAGATTTACATCAAGCAACGTTATATATCTAGTCTCTTTGAGCAAGCCGTTTGCAGCATCAGTCGAACTTGTGAGAAACCGAAACCAACCAGGAAACCTTATCTCAAGGAGGAGGACCGAGACAGGATCTTCCCAAGCATCTACGAATGGGTCTCGAACCTTTTCCAGTTCCAGTTACCCAAACCACCAGTATTCGCACCGCCGAGTTATTTCGCCAACCTGAAACCATGCCGCAATGAGACAATAAGCGGAAGTTACAATAACGGCACCGGGTTTTATTACAGTCAAGTCTTGGAGTATGGTAAAAACTGCACTCAGTACCAGCACAGTTCCAATTCTGTCGCCCCTCCGGAAGGGGAATAGTAATTCAATTTCTTTACCTTACACGCTAATTGTATCGTAAAAAATAGCTTATTTTTGGCATCTTCTGTAGTAAGATGTATGTAACTTAGTTTTAAATCATTTCCTCACGGCATCACATAAAATACCTAAAATATGGGGAGAAACGAAAATTCTGTACAATAGTAAAAAAAAGGTCATTTTTAGAGCTAGTGCACTGCTCCAACTAAAAGTTCGTGTAGTGCACCAATCAGTTATTGTAGCGCATAAACTGAGTTATTGTGGTTCGCACAGGGCATCAACTGGTTCGTGTAGCTGCACGCTAACTTGCTTAGTACAGTACACGAACTAGGTTCGTGTCCAGCACTAACCCTGTCTTCACAAACTTTGGTTAGTATACAGCACAAGAAAGTCATCTGGATGGACAATATCACTAATATCAGGTTAGTATGGTAGTGCACTGTTATCGCGAAAGTTGCATTGTCAAAGAATAATGTTGCGCATTTCCAAAATGAGCTTTGAACCCAAGCTAAAATTGTCACTAGAGGATTTTCTCATCATATAAGGTTTTGTTCGGAACATATTTGAACGGAATTTCAAGAGGGGGCATAAAAAGGCCCTGTTTTGACAGGGTAAACATTATCCTCTGCCAGAATGACGAGTATATGATTCCAAAAATCATAACTTAAACGAGACTCTTACTGCACATAACCACTAAAATTCGGAAGAACTCATAATCTCGCATTATCAATTTTGAAGGCACAGGGGTTTGTTAATAACCAGTAAGCGCATCATTTTAAATATCGACGGTGTAGGTCCGTAACCACGTATCTCGGTTTGCGACGTGGCAGACTTCCCGTCATACTTCATTTTTTAATTGGAAAACTACTCAATGATAATTCCTAAAAACTGCTGTGATTTTTCTTCCTTAAACCAAGAAAACTCTGCGAAAACTTCAAGGAATGGTGTCGCTTTGTTCTTCTTTAAGAAAATAAAATAAGAGCAGAGATCTTCAAACACCGCAAACGAGATTCGTGGTTGCGGACTTACACCGTCGATATATGCACTAATGCAACGAGTGCTTTTCCATACATCAGTGGCGTGGCGTGAATTGCGATGTATCGACTTTTATGCCATTTAAACCCATGGTAAAGAATCTATTATTAATGTGTTCGCTGCGAACACCCTGTCTATCGATCCTTTTCCATAGGTTTAAATGGCATAATAATCGATAAATCGCAATTCACGCCTCGCCATTGCCATACATGTCTGTAAGTCAGGGTTTGTCACACTGATTTCTTCGGAAATTGAAAAGCTGAATTTTCTCTCTTCCGTCAAGGCAGTTAATTTTTCATACGGGCAAACTTTCTTTGGTGAAATAATTTATTCATTTAATTGTGGAGCGTAAAATAAGCGCACAGGCGCGTTGGCACATTAACATGCGATTCGGCAAGATAATTAGAGCGATAAATCTTCCTCAGAGAAGTTTATTGCATTACCGGCCAATTTTAGGTTTCAAACGGTTTTGATTGGTACACAATGATTAACTTTCTCCTCTCTGTTCATACTTTTACCCTCTTTTGATCTCTCAATTCATTTCTTACTTATGGTCAATCTATCAAAAGAGTCACCCTTAATTCATTGACAAACTTGACTTATGTATTGTAAATTTGTAATTAGGCTGATGATAACTAAATTTATGAACGAAAAACAAATTATGGCCAGTGTGTCAAAACATAAACAAGCTTGAGAGCATTTTATTTGAATATTACTTTACTTGATCCTCAAATCAATTTTGTGACGTTTTTCATCTTCCTTTTTCTTTATCTATATATCCCCGGTGTAAATGACTTAACCACAACTTAAATTGTTTTTTGTAACCCTTTACGGCCGAAAAAAACACAGTCAGAGTGAGTGTTTACGATCTCCCAGTCATTATAAGATAGATGACTCAAATTCGACGGATTCGACAATACGTCGCCTGGCTGAAATATGGGCGTAACTACACATTGAGATGAACCCGGGCAAGCATTGAGTTAAATGGAGGACGGGTCTCATCGCGAAATGCAGTTAGCCTTTAAGTCAGGAGGGCGACGAATAGTCGGCCTAACTTCGTTAGACGTTCCCTGATTTTCTCTAGTGCTTCATTTCATTTAAGAAAATACTAAGTAACGCTTTAATCTTTGAACGCATACCTCATAACGGGGGAACTTTACAAAAAGTCCTAAGACAACATATTTTTTTAAATTTTCTGTCAATAAAAAAACCGAGAGGAATTTAGGCAACGTAAAACGCAGTTAGGCAGATTCTGGTTAATTTATCTGATTGGAGAAAAAGTTATATCATAAAAGAGATGAAATTTTTATTGCTGTCACTCTCTATCGGATTCACATTGTTTTAAAGTTGTCCTAAAATTTTCAATTTCTTTTAATAAGAGAACTTTCGCAATACCGTTCGACGTCATTCACAGGTACTTCATAGGTTCTGTAAACAATGGGCCTGTTGCAAACTTTTGCTAGAGCAAAAATAAGAGTTGTTTCCCACAGATGATGCCTCAAAAATCACGATTAGCGCATCGGCAAAGTCTAAAATGCACTCATAAATTCACAATCTGCGTAAGAAAGTTGCGTTATTTTGAGCTTCCCGCTTCAAAAACGATACTACGGCACAGGTGAACATTTTGTAAGAGGAGTCGTTCCATCGTCGGCAATACTCATCATGGCCGACGCCAATCCGCCAAAACACGTGTGATGGGACGAGATAACACCTTAACTGGATTAGACTAGAGTCCCTTTATACTGAGAGTCAAGACAATTTGAATCCATTTCTGATTGGTTCCCGTATTTTAGGCCTTCACAGTGTCACAAACGGGAATAAAGATTACAGTTTCACCGATTGCAAAGATTATAATCTGGAATGAACCGGGGAATTACGGGTTCGGCAAGGAACAAACGGAATGAGGGAAGGAACGAAGAAAGGAATTCGAGAATGGGCCGATCAAAGATTACGAAAAACGTTCGATTTCTGTAATCTTTATTCCCGTTTGTGACATCCATGAGCCGAATTGTCTTGACTCTCAGTATAAAGGGACTCTAGATTAGACCAGATAACAATCGGCGTGTTTACGTTCATATTTTCCACGCCCGAATTGATTGACTTAGAACTCTCCTCGAATTACGCGCGGAACTGCGCGCAAGCGTCAGCCATGCTGAATATCGCCGACGATGGAGCGACTCCTCTAACAAAATGTTCACCTGTGCCGTAGTATCGTTTTTGAAGCGGGAAGCTTAAAATAACGCAAATTTCTTACGCAGATTGTGGAGTTATGAGTGCATTTCAGACTTTGCCGATGCGCTCATCGTGATTTTTAAGGCATTATCTATAAGAGACAACTCTTATTTTTGCTCTAGCAAAAGTTTGCAACAGGCCCATTAATATCAATGGTGAAACCAAGGGAAAAAGAAAACTAGGAAGAAAAAAGATCATGTGCAAAGTTGTCGTAGGCTTTTCAAAAAGCTTAATTTTTTAGAATTAAAAATAAGGAAAGAAAACTCTGAGTATACGGCTTCATGCTCAATAGAGGGAAATACGATGAACGGATATAAATATTTCAATTTTTTTCAAAAGGAAGAAAGGAAAAGAACCGAATACTTGGAAAAGGAGTTTCTAAGTCCCGCAATTCAAGCACGAGGTTTTCCAGTTTCATAATCAAAATGCTAGCTCCAATCTCAGAAGTGGAAGTATGTGCGAGAGGTTAATTTCTTAAATTTCCCACGATGAGGCAACATTGGAATGGAAGGCCCAGACACATCGACGCTGCGTCATGTATAGGCTGTGCCACTTTCAATTTCTTTCGGCCCTCTCTCTTTTCACTACCATCAATGTCATACCTCTACAGAAGATATTTGAAGAAGCAACAGTTTTCTCATTTTTTTTTGTCTATCATTTCTTTAGCCAAGGGCAATCTTTTGCCGAAACTGACGTTATTTCCTCTTGATATCGTGCGCATTGCGCTTTGAAGAAAAAAGCATTTCTGAGAGTGAAAAACAAATTGTGTGAAAAATGTACTCAATGCACCAGCGGGGACTTGGGTTAAAAGATTGAATACTCAGATGACAAGGGGTACTTGGGGGATGTCCGATAGAGAGTTATCACTAAAATAATAGTGGATATTTTAATGGTATATTTTTAAAATGTTTTCACAATGTCTATGAGTACCTTTTGGATATGTGGTAGGATATTCTATTGAAAAAATTGGGGTTATTTGAATGTCCACAGGAAGATCCGTAGGATTTAATTGTTCTTTAGGCAGTTCAACTATGGATTAATCTCATTATAAAAGGTATTTTATATTAAGACAGTAGTACCCTAACAAAATGTTCTTTTGCTAATTCTTTTCATTATCTTGCACGTTATTTCTTCGACTGTAGAATGTCAGTGGGCCCAGTAATAACGCGATTCTTGTTCAGAAAAAATGGAAAATTTGTGTCACAGAAGCTTAAATAAGCATCCAAATAGAGTTGAAATTAAAAACAATTTCAGAAGAAGACCCTGCGGTAATATGGGGGTCAGGCCCTCCCTCGCAAAATAAACTAGCTACGTCTTTGTGAAAAATCATGACAGACGCATAACTATGCTAGGCAAGCATGATAAAGAAATTCTTGAATATCATTATCATTAAACAGTTTACAGACACGCTGAAACGCACGGAGACTTTGAGTGACTTTAACGCAGGAGTAGAAAAGTAAACCATGCATGGAGTTAAATCGATAAGTATCCTGGACGTCAGTGGCAATTATATTCCATCCCTTATGGCCTCAACTTTGAGAGAGTTTTCTGATCTTTGGAGTTCGTTTCAGAGAAAACCAGTGGCACACCATCTTGTTTCTCGCGAAATTTTACGCAAGAAAAAGTACTTAAATCGCAAAACCCCACATTTGCAAGAGGTTCAATGAGAATAGTAGCGTCTGGTCCCCGTAGAAATTCTGAATGATTGAAAAAAACCCTCGTCAAGAATATCTCTCCGTCACAATGGCCCCTGAGAAAATGCTTGTCCGTCGAATTAAAGGAAGAAGTTTGCAATGTTCCCCAAAGTTTTTCACAGGGTGCTGCTTAAATATCAAATCTCCCATTCATACAAGAGTTCGCCATTGGGGGCAGCCTTTCTGCGGGCTGATTGTTGATTGTAGACAAAGCTATAGACAATGAAGACATAGGGAGTATGGTGCGATCCTATTAGTTAAAATGGGTGGTCCTCACAGGCTGAGGGGGTAAATGATGGACTATATAACTATAGAGCCGCTCGTGGGTTGCCGTTAGTTAGTCTATTATCTACCTCCTTTCTCCATTGCAACCACCCGATTTCCATAATAGGATCCCTTCACATCTTTTTTTCTAGAGTCTTGTCTATCAATTTCAACAGTCAGTAGGCTGATTGTTGACATTTATGGACAAAGCTATAGACAAAGAGGACAAAAGGGGTATGGAGGGCTCCTATTAGTGGAAGCGGGTGGTTGCAATGGACAAAGCATGTAGATAACAGACTAACTAACAGCAACCCACGAGAGACCCTATATAGTTAGTCTATCATTTCTCCCTTAGTTCATAGGAGCCAACCATTTCAACCAATAGGATCCCTCCATACTCCTTGTGTCTTCTTTGTCTATCGCTTTGTCTATCATTTTTAAGAATCAGCCTACTGCTGGTCCCCTAGCTATGCCCACGCGCTTGATACCGGACGAGAGACGGCGGGATCCTCCGGTCTTTATCGGCAGGAGGGTCTTAGCGGTGGATGGGAATGAGATCAGTTCTGCTGTGCTGAGGAAGAACGCCGTATGAGCCTTCAGGCGTTGCCAAATTTCCTTTGATAAAACACGAATTTCCTGGTAAAATTATGAATATGTTCCTTTCGGTTTTTCTGATAATTTTGTTCGCAATTTCACCCCTAATGTTCTTAAAAATTTTAAGGGAAAATATTCATACATTTTCTCAAAAATATTAATTTTATGGATGGAAATTTGGACGTATTTCTATTGAACGGACCTAAGCGCCATAGGGTGAGGAGGATAGAGGGGGGCTTTGATTGGCGGCGGAATCGGACATCCGGCTTATTTCGTCCTATACTTGCAATGCTTTTCCATGGCGCTTAGGTCCGCTTGACAGAACGCGCTATCCGGGATTCTAAATTCCTCAAAAGGAACTCAAATTGGCGCTTAGTTCCGTTTGATAGAAATACGTCCATTTGGCAACTCTCGAATGTTCATACGGCGTTCTTCCTTAGCACGGGAGAGTTACGCAGTGGTCCATTGATGGGACGTGGCCTGTGAAGATGAGCCGGTGTCCGTCGGAAGCGGGATGGCGGCTTTGTCGCATGGTTCCGAGGATCGGGAGCGCGGGACGACGGAACCGTTAGTCCGGTGATGACACCCGGCACGCGGTCTGCGGCATGCGGCTTGCGGCATCCGATGCGGCGATGCCCACCGGTCTTGTCCACCGCTGCCCCGGCCGACCGACTCCGACTGCAGTCGGCTAACAGCATCCGATGCACGGGAAGAACTGTAGTTTCTGTTGTCATCGCGCGCGGTGGTCGCGCGTTCTTCCGTTCCCGTATCGGGGTTGCCGCCTCGAAATATCAATCGATCTCATTGGACATAGTGCACGAAGAAAAAAACCTCGTGCGTGGGACCCGAAGTTTAGGTCATATGGACGTATTTCTACCAAACAGACCTATGTGCAAGTGAGAAATGTGGGGTGTGCTCGTTAGTTCTCTGGCCGTAAGAGTGAATGAGAATAATAAAGCGCCAGTGACGTCAGCGGCGATGATGGAGCACGAGCGCCGAGGGGAAGAACGTCGTCGGGGCGCTGTAACTCATGAGCCCTGTCCACAACGCTCTCGTGCCGTGCCCGCGGCTCATGAATCCAGCATTCCGTTGACACATAGGTCTGTTTGATAGAATGTAATATCCCGCTTTTCCAATTCTTCAAAAGGAATCGCGCCCACTTTTACATTGCTTCTTATGCAGATTTCTAGAGTACACCCCATATTTCTCACCTGCACATAGGTCTGTTTGATAGAAATACGTCCATATGGATCTCTGAAGCTTTCAGGTTGAGCATCTGAACACTTTAGGTCTAACTGTCGGGGTTCGGATCACTCATCTGAAACTTCAGTTCTTACATCTGAAGTACCTCAGATGTGAAAACCGAAGTTTTTGGGATGTGAGAACCGAAGTTTTTCGGATGTGAAAACCGAAGTACTTCAGATGCAAGAACTGAAGTTTCAGGTGTGTGATCCAAACCTCAGCAGCTGGGCCTAAAGTGTTCAGATGCTCAATCCGAAAACTTCAGAGATCCATATGACCTAAACTTCGGGTCCCAAGCACGAAGTTTTCTTCTCCGAGTGGAAACAAAGAGACTTGTAAAAGCGGCCCGAAACGGAATCGACAATCGAAAACACAGGAAAATGCGGAAACAAGGTTAAAATAGAAAATACAAAGGCAGGACGTTTCGGTACCTTATACGGCACCATTATGTATGTATGTATGTATGTATGTAAGGGTGTAAGGGGGGTGTATGTATGTATGTATAAGCCGCTTTTACGGCGCGCTAGGGCGCTCTGCGACGCCTCACAGGAATCTGTCATGGTAGAGATCCTCCGGAAGCTAGCATCTCTCCATCTCTTCATGGATGCCCTCTACCCACCGTTTGGCTGGACGCCCTCTCCGTCTTTATCTATAGCTTTGTCCATAATTTCAACACTTCATGGATGCCCTCTACCCACCGTTTGGCTGGACGCCCTCTCTGTCTTTGTCTATGGCTTTGTCCATAATTTCAACGATCAGCCTGCAGACCACGTATCTCGTTTGTGGTTTTTCAAAACCTCTACTCCCATTTTATTTTTTTCAAAGAGGACAAATCAATATCGTTTCTTAAAATTTTGGTAGAATTTTCTTCACACGGAGAGGAAAAGCTAAACTGTTCGTCAGTGTCTCAGAAGGAAGGAGTGTCAATCGGGCCCTCAGTAATGAGTTACATTTTACGCAAGACAGCAGTAAGTATGCAAGATAACGTGGACTTACTTGCTGTTGTCAGAGAGGACATAATTTTTTGTTCACTCGTGGGTTTCTTATAGCTCTCGGTTTTTTTACAAGCAAGACTAATTTTGCGTTTCAGTTGGGGTTTCCCCTTGAGATGGAAGATTCGGTTGTTACTGCTCTCTTAGATAAGTAAGTTCCCAGTAGGTATGGTAAATAATGAGTAATATGTCGTCATTTTTTGCGCACTTGCGGATTTCTCATAGCCCCTGTTTTTTTTAAAAAAAAGCGAACTTTGCGGTTTCAGTTTGAGTTTCGCCTCGACTTGGAAAATTTGGTTATTACTGTTCTCTTGGATAAGACGGGAGAGCGGTGGCAACTGAGTGTCTGATGATGTTGGTCAGTGTCTCAGAGGGAAGGAGTGTCAATCGAGTCCACAGTAATGAGTACTATTTTACGCAAAACAGCAGTAAGTATGTAAGATAATGTGGACTTACTGCTGCCGTCAGAAATGACGTCATTTTTTTGCACACTTGTGGATTTTTCATAGCCCTCATTTTTTGCAAAAAAAAACGAATTTTGCGGTTTCAGTTTAAGTTTCTCCTCGATTTGGAAAATTTGGTTATTACTGTTGTCTTGGACAAGACGGGAGAGCGGTGGCAACTGAGTGTCTGATGATGTTGGTCAGTGTCTGAGGAGGAAGGAGCGTTAATCAGCTCCGAGTGGCGACTCCGCTCCGGGGAGCTTTGGCTGCGGAGACTCCGACTGGAAGCCGCGACTCCATGAGTCAGTCAGACCCGAGTGCTCGGTGTTCAGTGCTCAGTGCTCCCGGTGAGTTGTGACTTGTGTCTTGTGTCATCGACGCATCATGCCCTCGTGGACGCGAACGCTCTGCCTCACCGTCAGCCTCCTTTGCTGCATCCTTCAGCTCGCCGGTGAGTACCCCCGAAGACTCTCCTCAGCGAACCCTTCTTGGTCCTAACCCCGCTATGCACTGGAAAAAAAAAAAAAAAAAAAAAAAAAAAAAAAAAAAAAAAAAAAACACATTCGATCTAGAGTCCAGACTCTTGAAAACATTGACAAGAAAAAATACTCTTGATTCAATCAGATTTAAGGTTGAATCAAGAACCAAGCCTCTTAATTTGAGCGGATTTCCTTTCGATTTAAGCTTAAATCTGGTTGAATCAAGAGTCCTTTTTCTTGTCAATGTTTTCAAGAGTCTGGACTCTAGATCTAATTTGTTTTTTTTTCCAGTGTTGGACCAGCGACGGAAAATGAGGGACTTGGAGGACAAGGCGCATAAATGCAGTTTTTGCTACCTCGAGAAATACGTGTTTGAAGTTCCGAATTTACATCGGCACTGGAAAAAAGTCGCTTGGATCTGGAGTCCAGACTCTTAAGAACATTGACAAGAAAAAATACTCTTGATTCATTGGACTTTTTGATTGAATCAAAAGGAAATCCGCCTACATCAAGAGGCTCGGCTCTTCGGTTCAAGACAAAATCGAATTGAATCAAAGGTATTTTTTTCGTCCATGTTTTTAAGAGTCTGGACTCTAGATCCGAGCGACCTTTTTTCCAGTGGATCCTCATTGCCGAAAGAAAGTTCAAACTGACTTTTTGGTGCTTAAAAATTGGAATTTGGGAGCGAATTTTTCAAAAAATACGCATAAGAACTAGATTGATTAGAAATCATTAATATATATCAATTTTTAACTGCACTTATCGCCTTGTCCTCCAAGCTTCTCAAATGAAATTTCACAGGTTGACTTTCATGGAATTTCATTGGAAAGGATATGTCCTTCTTTCAGCCTGTTTTTCAAAAATTTAAAAAAAAAAATAAGAAAGTCTCTACGGGACCAGCTTCACTTTTCAATATCACATTCCGCTTCTTATCAGCAAAGATTTCACGCTCATTATTTGCAGGGACACTATTGGACCAGGAATGCAAAATGAGAGTTCACGGGTTAACCTTTATTGAATTTTATTTAAGAGGACAGAACCTTTTTTGCCCTGAACTTCAAACATTTTAAAAGAGAAGGAAAATGTTTCCACGTGATCAATTTAAGTTTTCAATATTATTATACCCTGAGACTGAGAATAGTTTTTTTTTTTAGAATTTGTACTGTATAATACGGGCAGTCCTCGGCGTCCAAAGTTGTTTCGCTTCGCGTTTTTTGTCAAAAATAGCTGAGAGTTGCTGATTTTTTTATACATTTGCTGTAATTAAACTATGAACATTATGTTCCTAACTGTGTGCATATGTATTTTCACTATCCACAATTCCAGAGATGCAAAATGAGATTTGACTCAGTTTGGTGAATGAAGGCGGTAAGAGGCTTTTCAAAAAATTGTTGATCATAAACGCATATTGTTCAAATAATATTTTCCATGCTACCGATATCAAAAGTGCACATTCCAATTTCGCAACATGGATTTAGAATTTTATGAGCTGTGGGTCGCAGTATAGCCTCCATAAGTTGGATCGTTTTTCTCGGAGAAAAAAAAAAAAATTGATTCGGATCTTTGAAATTCATTTGAGTCTCTTCTCATGCACGTAGAGTTTAGGTTAAAAAACATGGTCCTGAAACAGAGTAAAATGGGTTGGAAGTTTCATTCCTTTCCATAAATCTCACTTTAAAAAATATGAAATCTCTTTGAGCTCATGCCCATGTCCACACGTGAGATTTTATCGTAAGAAAGCACAAACTGATTGCGAGGGACGCTCGGGTCGTAAGACATCAGTATGTTGGAGTTTAAGGCACGTTAGCTAAAACGGCGTATACCAGTAACATGTTCTGTTTTAACGAAACTTTTTTACACCATAGCTATGACTACATGTCAAAATCTTTGTCTCTGTATTATTCCCCTTGTGATAAACTTTTGTTGTTGAAGTTGTCTTCCTGCGAGCTGATTGTTGAAATTGATGGACAAAGCTATAGACAAAGAAGGCGAAAGGGAAATGTAGGGATCCTATTGGTGGAAGCGGTTGGTTCCAATGGACAAAGGAGGTAAGTATAATGGACTAACTAATGGCAACCCAGTAGAGACCCTATACTTAGTTCATAATTTTCTCCATTAGTCCAAAGGAGCCACGCTGAGCCACCCATTTCAAACAATTATAGGATCGCTCCATACTCCCTTGTCTTCTTTGTCTATCGCTTTGTCTATGAATTTCAATAATCAGGTCGCTGAGCGTTCCCGTGATCCAATTTTAAAAAATGAGGGTTTTAACTAATGCTGAGAGTATATTGCATCCAACTAACTGAGTTACCTACTGGTTTTACTCTAGCATTATCAGTTCGCGAGAAAATCTATAGGAGACCTTTCTCTCTGCATGATCGTCGCACATTGTCGTTTCCTAGTCAACAAAACTTAACTACGAGTATACAATCATATCAACGTTGCTGAAATTCCACTCGTAAATTGTATTTCCAAAAGGCAACTATCGGGCATTTTTGACTGAAAATTTTACTTTTCTTTCCTCTCATCATCGGCAAATTTTTGGACAGAAATTGCACAGTCATATCGATGGCTGAAGTATGAGACCACGAACCTCCGTACACGACGTTGTAGACTTCCAGTCCTACTTTATTTTCTCCTTGGATAACTAGTCAACGTAATAAAAAAGCTCTGTATAAAGTTCAAGCTGTAAAGTTGACTTTAACTTTTTTGAAAAAACAAACCAGGAGCGGAGATTCTGCAACTCCGCAAATGACATACGTGGTGACGTTTTTTCAGCCATCGATGTATTTTGTGAAAAATGGAATCCTCGTTTAAGTCGAGTTTGCAATTTAAGAATGGAGTTACTTTCCTTTGTACGAGAAAGACGACAGGTCCGATGGTAGCTCATTGAAATAAAAATGTTGTACATGAAAGTTTTCTGCCGACCACTTTTTATAAGCAGACCTATATTCCTCCGTGAAAGTTGATTACCCTTTGTTTAAATTCAACCTAATTTATCCTGGCAAAAGAAGGCAGATGGGCAGACGTACTCCTGCACCAGCGCAGAGCGTTACACATGGCGCGATTCCTCTGCCAAATTAATTGGCATACCGCGGTAAATACCACGCGCGGTGAAATTTCGGGCTTTGATTCAAATGCGGCATCTTCCCTCATCCTTGAAAAGTTCACTTGGCAAAGAACGCAAAGCCGTGAATTAATGGTGGGCTCCAACGACAACCCACTGTCTTAATTAGAGGAAAGGTCATTTGTTGAGGTATTCAATTTTAAATTCACCGCATTTCTCACACGATCGGAAGAGATAACTGTACGTAAACATACATGCGCGTGATTACTGTGTAATCTTATCACTCTGAAATGACTATCAACTCAACTGCCATGGTAGCGAAGAGAGCAGTAAGTGCAAAAATGAAGTTTTGAGAGAACGGGCTCAGAAGTTTCTGACCGAAAAGTGTTATTGAAAGAAGCGTTCTTTATCAAATTGCCACTAATCGTCCGAAAGACTCTTAGAACCCTGGTAAAAAGTGGCGATAGGAGCTGCGTTTCAAAATACCATAGGAGTTCTTACAGCCGACGAAAGAAGGCTATAGAAAATCATATAGCTGGCTGTAGAAACCGGAGCAAATCATATAGCCGGGCTATACGAAGCTATAAAAAAGTATACAGTCGGGCTATAGTTTCTACCGCCGGCTATAAAAGGCTATAAGATATTGTGTAGAAATTTGTGTGCTTTGGAAATCATTAAGTGTTTTACGGAACTAGGTACCTTAATGTTTACAAAACACACATTATATTTTCCTTTAAAACACATTTTTTTTCATCAATTAAAATGAGAATAATCCATACAGAGTGTGCAAACATTTCAGAAGCATGAGTTGAAAAACGGTGACTCCGCGAAATTAAATATTAGAGCCTAACACAAAGCGGAGGTGCGACACACTGGCGCCTACAAACCTAACAGGGATACTTCACGCATTGCGCAATGCGTGAAGTATCCCTGTTAGGTTTGTAGGCGCCAATGCGCGTTTCGCACTCTCTGCCCGCCCGCCGCGCCGCAGCGTATGCCACGGCATCTGAAGCAATTATTTCACACCAGAGGTATTGCACAATATCATAAGAAATTGAAGGCGCTCCAACATATTTAGAATGACTGGCATTCTTCAAAAGTACGGAGCTTTCCTCGCAAAATAAATCAAGATACCACGGCACAAAAAGAGAGTGGTAGTCCAAAAACTAACTAAGTCCTAGTATCCGTATTTAGTATAACGTTTAGCATAAACTTTATCGTCTGGCTGTTGCTTAATCGCCATTGGCTATAAAAGGCTATAAGAAATTGTACAGCCGGCTACAGAAGCTATTGGAAATCTTACAGCCGACTTTAGGTCTATAGTATTTTGGAACAGACATTCTACTGCCAATTTTTACCAAGGAAATCGTTTGGATGATTAAAAACCCACAGATTTTATTTCAATTAGGTACATAAAAAGGGTATTTTTCATTTTCATGCTAGGCTATTGTTAGGCAAGACAGCCGTAAGTGCCATCTTCTTCATGCTTTCTTGGTTGCGTTTTGGACACACAACAAACACATTTTCAGGTTAGAAATGGCGGCACTTTACTTGAAAGTACGGTTTTCATTAGCTCTCTGGAGGAATGTTGTCACTTACTGCTGTCTGGTCTGAAATTACGTCATTTTTTGCGCACTTACGGCTTTCTCAAATGTCTCGTTTTGACACAATTTAGATGAATTTTGCTCTTTTAGCTATTTCAGTGACTTCATCTCAAAGAGATTAAACGAATTTTGAAGGAAACTCGATTTTGAAAATTTGACACTCGCTGCTCTCTTCACTATCACGGTCGTAAACTACATCTCATGATATAAATTGAGGGGCTTGAAGGGCAAGGCATAGAAGTGCAGCTTTTGAAAAAATTGCGATATTAGATTAGATTGAGAGCCATAAAGCTCCATGTAATTTTGAAATTTCAAACAAGGATTTATTGAGATAGTAAAAACTGCACTTATGCGCCTGATCCACCCAGCCCCTCAATTATGTAAGCTTGCACAGTTCTTTGAAAGGCGAATGTCAGCATGCCTGTATTATAATGTGGTTCTTGTGAATCTAAAGTCTTAGTAACTACTCGTGAATTAAGACCAGTCTGAACCCAGTAAGCCACCAATAGACCAATTGGACGTATTTCTGCTAAACGAAACTAGGCGCAAATTTCATGTCCTTTTGAGGATTTTAGAATCTAGATGGAAAAGCATTGCGAGCATAGGACGGAACGAGCTCCATGATCCGGGGTGTCATCGATGGGTGTCAATCTATTTTTCATAAAAAATTTTCTGCTCTGTCCACGGGGGCAAATGATATTGTGTGGTATCCACATGAACTCTTCTCATGCCTGGAAATGTAATCGATCATGTGTAGGTGGGAAATCCGTGTCGTCCTAGCAAGAGATCCATGTTTTGATCATGTTCAACTGCCACTTGTAACATTAATGTCTCTTGCAATGTTATCAAGACAGTGTACTGCATGGTATCCTTTACAATATTACCATGTTTTTGAATGATTTATGATTTAATTAGAATATCTATATATAATCAAAAACTCTGGGCCATAAAATCGTCGCTCTCTTAAGTTTTTAACATAAAGGCGTAACTACTTACACTGCCGTGCTAAGGAAGAACGCCGCATGAGCCTTCAGACGTTGCCAAGTTTCCTTCGATGAAAACTGAAACTACTGGGAAAATTTTGGGTATTTTTTTTCAAAATTTTCAGACAATTTTGTACGCACTTTAATCTAAAACATATGAAAATTTCAAAGGAAAATGTGCATGTCGAAATGCCGTGGCGCGCCAAATCTGGGAAGGACCTCGTGCCCCCTCGCAATCTAGGTGCAAGTAAGCAAATTCAACTTCCGTTAAAAAAAAAAAAAAAAAAAAAAAAAAAAAAAAACCGCAGAAAGCGATCGGAGACGACCAGAGCATGATGCATCTCGTGCGCTTTGTCTCCGCGGGATTTTTCCCAAGTTCGAATCGCAGGAATGAAACTTCTGGGCTTTTTTCCCTTCAAACAACGCAACGAAAGTTCTTCCTTTTCTTTCTAAGCCCGGGACTCCACAGCGACTCTTAGTTGGCACTGTGATTAGTATTGCCTGACTCGATATTTTTCCCAACTTCGCAAGTGAGATTTTCCCCAGGACAAATCCCATGAAACGTCCTGTGGAGACAAGGCCGCAGAATATAGCCCTCCAAAGGGCAAAAAGTCGTGGATATGTGTAAATCTAGAATGGGCCCAAAACGATCCATACGTCGATACCTCTCCTTTCCAAATCCTGTGGATCAAATTGCCAATCTGAATAAATCGAATATAGATATTCACGAGGGTCGAAAAAATTCGTGAACTATCGAAGAAAATTTGGCAACGTCCTAAGGTTTATACGAGCTATGTCCACCACTGCTGTGCTAAGGAAAAATGCCGTATGAACATTCGAGAGTTGCCAAATTTTCTTCGATAAAATGTTAATTTTTGAGGAAATTTGTGGATATTTTTCCTTGAAATTTTCAGGGAGTTTAGATGAAATTGCGCACACAATGGACCACTAGACAAGGTACGAATTTAAGCATTCTGATACATGTTTTTTAACCAAAATTTCACGTAGAACACAATGCGCACAGCAAAAATTACCGAAATCAACTCCTTACGAAGATATTTAATGATTCCTGATGCGTGAATTCAAACCACCCGCTCAATAAAACTCAATGCTCCACGTGATTCACATCGCGCGTTGAATATTATCGTGACAGTCTCTGCGATATGAAAATCTTGCAACCACAATTTTGACGCTTTGGCTCAGCTATAGCAAATTGCTTATGATTTGAACAACACATGGTGGGAAATGAACAGTGCTCGCTTGAAAGGCTTGCTGAAACTGTTGTAGTGCGCGATTTGACTCACGTAGAGCTTTGAGTTTCTTGTGAGCGGGCAGTTCAAAATCCGCGTAACCAATGTGAAATAAAAAGGTTAATATCTTCGTCAGGAGTTAGCTTCAGTAAATTTTGTTGCGTGAATCGTGTTCTACGTGAAATTCTGGTTAAGAAACATGTATCAGAATGCTTGAATTCGTGCCTTGTCTAGTGGTCCATTATCTGAAATATTGAAAGTAAAATACTTATAATTTTACCAGGAAATCCGTGTTTTATCAAGGGAAATTTGGCAACGCCTGGAGGCTCATACGGCGTTCTTCCTCAGCACGGCAGACCAGCCTCTTCAATTTATTGCTAGAAATACGTGTAATTAAAACTAAAGACTCTATGATTACTCCTCCTCGCGTGCGAGGGGTGTGGAGGGGGCTTGAGCTTCACCTAGTCCCGGCAGTGCATAACTTTTCCGACGCTTCATGTTTCAGAGCTGAAAGCGCAGCACCGGCGCTACAAGCTGCGGCGCATTCTGCCTCCGGTTGCGGGCCACGTTCCGGTCTACATCCAGCACGGCAGCAGTCCGCCGGACCTCAAGGCAATTTACCGGATGGCCTCCTCGCTCCGGCACAAGAGCGAAAAGAGCGCCTCCATCGATCGGTTCTACAAAGCGGCCGACGGCCCCTCGAAAACCAAGATCAAGGCCCACCATCCGCACTCCTGGAGCCCCTACAGGGCTGCCCGCCCCAAGATCGTCCGCACCTACAAGATGACCCCCAAGCCCAAACTCCACCACTCCAAATCATGACCAGTCCCCATTCCCTAGGTTTAACCCGTGTAAATATTGTGTATTTTTGTTGTTGAATATTAAATTATTGTTTTGTAACTGCGGTTTTTTTTTGGTCGTAGGACTACGTCTTTCTCTACCTCGGATGGGGGGGGGGGTCCTTGAATTTGCAAGAAGACAGATAACCACGACGAATAACTCGGCATATAATAACTACTGATAACAGCTACTGAAACAGCCACTGATAACAGCCACTGATAACAGCCACTGATGACAGATATTATTGATGACGTCATTTTAGGTATATCTGGACTCAGAATTTTTTCTTGTCAATCCAGATTTCGGACTCGGACATTTTCCGCCATTTTTGGTCCGTTGAAGTTGTTATCTGACATGGTTCCATTATGACGTCACTAGCGTATAAAATTTGATCGAATAACAGCGGCAGATAACAAGTACTGATAACAGCCACTGAAAACAGCAACTGATAACAGATATTATTGATGACGTCATTTGAGGTATATCTCGACTCAGAAATTTTTCTTGTTAATCCAGATTTTCGACTCGGACGTTTCCCGCCATTTTTGGCCCGTTCAAGTTGCGATCACATGAATCCATTATGACGCCATTAACGTATAAAATTTGATCAGATAACAACGACAGACAACAACTACTGATAACAGCTACTGAAAACAGCCACTGATAACAGATAGTATTGATGACGTCATTTGAGGTATATCTTGACTCGGAAATTTTTCTTGTTAATCCAGATTTTGGACTCGGATATTTTCCGCCATTTTTGGTCCGTTAAAGTTGTCATCCTATGGTTCCATTATGATGTCATTAGCGTATAAAATTTTATCAATTTTCTTTTCTCTCTGTTGGCGAATCACTTTTCATTTCTCATCCTACAGCCAAAAGCAACTCTCGGTCAAAGTGCTCTTAATTTAAAAGACGCACTGTGCTAAGTGTACACTGAAAAATACGATGTTTGACGCCTCAAAAAATCTCACATTTCATGAAGACAGAAGTGGAGGATTATGACAAATAAACCGCATTAATATCCCCAGTCTCCTCGCGAAATCTCACAACTTCTCAAATGTGATGCGAACATCATGATATGAGTGCATCCATCATGTAACTTAATCACGCAACCATCCATCAAAGTCTCCTCGCGCCTCGCCATCATTTCTCCGCATTTCTAAGAGAAATTTTCTCGGCGGATCTCATTACCTCTGTCCAGATCCAGGGGTCACCGTCTAATCAAAAGTCAAGTTTACATCTGAGCACTGTTAAAAAGTCGGAGTACACGCCGAGTGAATGGTCTGAAAAATGTTGAGAGAAAAGAGTGAAATCGGTTTCCTTTGAGCGTTCATAGCACCGGGTTCTATCTCACGTCATATGGGAGCTTATCATACTTCTGATGAGACTTCATTTGAACCACGAGTGCGGTGGCGTAGCGTGCTTTGCGATGAAGCGATTGATCTGCCATGTAAACCTATGGAAAAGAATCGATAAACAGAGTGTTCGCAACGAACATTTTCTCAATCGATTCTTTACCACAGCTTCAGAAAGGAAAACGATAGTCGATCAGTCACGCCTCGCCTCTGCACATTCGAGGTTCATAGGCAACCCATTTGGAATTAAATGGACTTCAAATGTCAGACCATGTTTTCAAAGCAAATAGGAGAACGTATTTCTTGGTTCAGTGCATTCAATAAAATTTGCATGTTATTAGATTCAAAGATCTCCGGAACATAATTTTTCAAAGCGGTGATGTCCTGGACTAACAGTTCTCATTGAGCACACGAATGAATGAAATATCGATGCCAGACATCGAGAAAGGCGTATCTCTGATAGTGAAACTGTTGGAGCATTTCTATTGGAGGGACTCGCAGAAAATTAAATATTTTTTTGCTACTCATTCAATAATATTCACGGAACATTTCAAGGAGACTGGTCTCTGGTTCGCTTTCTTCTGACGAAGCAAAAATGATCGGATATTTTTGAGCATCGCAATGGAGGCACACAATTCTGGACGTCAGACATTAATACCTATAGTTAGAAGTTTTACTGATAAGGAAGTCTGGAGAAATTTTCACAAATTCGAGAAAAACGCCCTAAGAGTTGAAAAATTACATTACGAAAGTAAGCTATAAAATCGAATATTAAGAAGGAAATATTTGTATACTATTTCCCCGTCACCTTTGCCTTAAAACCATTCATACTATGGGAAGAATTTCCCAATAGTGACCAACGACTCAAACTTTAAAAAGTGTTTCTCAACTCCTTAATACACGGTGTACTCGTACCATTTACTTTTCAATTTATCGTCTGCCGGACAAAAAAAACATGGCTATGATATTTTAAGGTTGCCGCAATATTTCCAGTCATAGATCGATGACCGACGTGCAAAACTTCGTATCTCCGTTTGCGAAGTTGCAGACTTCCTATCATACTTTATTTTTTCTTTGGAAAGCTAGTCAGTGTATTTTTTCCAAAACTTTCGTGATTTTCCCTCTCTGATAGCAGAATGTTCTGTTTCAATTTCAAGCTATAAAGTTGGGTTGTTATCCTTCGAAAAAATAAAAAAGGAAGGGGAATTTTGAAACATTGCAAAGGGAATACGTGGTTTCGCACTTTAACCGCATCGAAATAATAGTTTTACTATGAAATTTTCGGGTAACCCCCACTGAGAATGTTGCCGATTTTTCTTCCAATCATACTGAAGAAATGAGTGAAATTTTGGACTTAAATTACGCATTTAGATTCCCTTTAAAATTGAGTTCTTCGAGTTACGTTTGCAACATTGGATACATTGGAATGTTGTAACATTCCTTTGTCTGGAAAACAACGAATTATACTGCCGCGACAGCAAAGAGAGCCGCAAGTGCAAAAATGAAATGTTTAGAATATGGACTCAGTAGCGCCTGAGCGTCGGCGCTATGCGTTTCACACCGACTGCTGCTGAGCGCACTGTGTTTGACGCAATGGGTGAAGTATTCATGCAGTCTTGTAGGCGCTATGCGTTTCACGCCGAACGTTGCTGACCGCACTGTGTTTGACGCAATGCGTGAAGTATTCGTGCAGTCTTGTAGGCGCCAATATGTGTTACACGCCGATCGCCGCGTCGAGGGCTTCTCCTTTTCATCTGATCAAGTCCTCGTCATCATTGCTCTCTGCGCCGCGCCGTTCGTTCCAGGCCAAATTGCGTGTTTGACTCCTCTCTTTACCCGACCAATTAAAGGTGCTTTCTCTTATATTATCGACAAAAATTAGAAATTACCATATTCTCAGGAAGTGGAGATTTTGTCACCTTTTCTTGTTTGTAATTTTTTTTTCTGAATCCGATATTTTTTTACACCTACATTTAAAAAAAATTGCAAAGTTTGCCGCCCCCTAAATTTGCCGTCATGGGCCTCGGGCCCATGTGGCCACCTCCTAAACCCGGTTCTGAAGTTTAGCCGGAAATTCGTGATTTATCAAAGGAAGTTTGGCAACACATGGAGGTTCATACGGCGTTTTTCCTTAGCACGGCAGCATACTGCCATGCTAAGGAAGAACGCCGTATGAACATTCGAGAGTTGCCGAATTTCTTTCAATAAAATGTTTATTTTTGAAGAAAGTTATGAATATTTTTCCTTGAAATTTTCAGGAACTTCAGGTGAAATTGCGAACAAAATTATCTGAAAAATTGGAGCGAAAATATTTACAAGTTTTCCAGAAAATTAGCGTTTTATCAAAGTAAATTTGGCAACGCCTGAAGGTTCATACGACGTTTTTCCTTAGCACGGCAGCATAGCACACTGAGTCATCACTCCGGAGCTCTCACTCGGTCAAAGCGACGCGCGCCACGCCGATCTAATAAGGTGAGAGACACCGCACAATGGATCGAGTCAATAGGAGAGGTCGGACGAGATTTGGGAACTGTGAATGCTTATAAATCCGTTTATACAAAACTTTAAGGTTCTGAAAATGGTTCCATTGGTTTCCTCGTAAAATTTTCTTCTAAAAGCACCTCTCGAACTTTAAAATGTGACAGAATGATCATCAAAATATGCAGTTATAGTGAAAAATTTCATATCGACGGTGAAACTACCAAACCACGTATCTCGTTTGCGGTGTTTAAAAATCTACGCTCACATTTTATTTTTTTAAAGTAGAGCAAATCAATATCATTCCTTGAAATTTTCACAGAATTTTTTCCGCACGAAGAGGAAAAATCACAGAAATTTTCAAGACTGGACGTTAAGTAGTTTTTCATTTAAAAAATAAAGTATGACAGGAAGTCTACGACGTCGCAAACCGAGATACGTGGTTTGGTAGTTTCACCGTCGATATCCGACTTCTCTAATGGAGAAGTTGCATGCAACTTTTTCATTGCTTCCTCTGAAAGTGCTTAAAGGGCCGATTTCACAGTATTTTTTTCAATTGTTTTCTGTTATGGGAAGTGGTATAAAATAGATTTAAAAGTGAGAAAATGCACCGCCCAGTGACGTCATTTGGGGGCATTTCCCATTTAAACACACGTATTTTAGCAGATTAGATCATTTTGTCATTGCTTCTCTAATAATTGGACGCATTTCTGTCAAATGGAACTAAGCGTCAATTTGAGTTCCTTTTGAGGAATTTAGAATGCCGGATAGCGCGTTCTGTCAAACGGAACTAAGCGCCATGGAAAAGCATTGGGAGGATAGGACGGAATGAGCCCGACGCCCAGTTCCGCCGCAGATTCAAGCCCCCCTCTATCCTTCTCCCCCCATGGCGCTTAGTTCCGTCTCGAAGAAATACGCCCAATTGTTCAATTCATGAACTAATTGTATCCTCGTGTTCAATTCACTCAGTAGGTTCCACTTAAACACGAAATTTTATCAAATTTCAGACAACTGCGGCTATTCTATTGGACGTATTTCTATCAAACGGAACTATGTGCATTATGAAGTGAGCCCTGATATGCACATATTCTTATGGGTCTCAGGGCTCATGTCTAAATGCACTTAGTGCCGTTTGATAGAAATACGTCCTATTGACTCGATCCACTGTGCGGCTTACGGTAATGAGTGGTCACTCGGTAAGCCTGATCGGCCATCAACATTCCT